GTTGTAAGCTGCTCACCGCCTGCGCGGCTTCATCGAAGTTGGCCTTTGGAGTAGCAGGACATACAGGTGATTTTGCTGGCGAGGAAAGGTAGATGGTGGGTATCTTGTCTCCGGAAATAGTTGAAACTGCTTGATTGAAGGCCGTGTCTCTGGAAGAATCTCCATCCTGGTTATCACTGACGATAATCTCCAAAGACACAATGTTGCTGGGCTCTCCAGGCTTGCGTGGGGGAATGGCAGGGATGGTGACCGGAGGAGGAGGAGGACTGGGCGTTGGGGTAACTGGAGCACAAGAGGAAGAAAATGCAGAAGAGGCAGAAACAGTGATGGAAGCAGCTGTAACTGGAGCAGCTGCAGAAACAGATGCTGAAGAAGAAGATGGCACAGAGCCAGGAGGCACAGCAAGACCGTCTCCACCAGAAACACAAACATCGGGCTGGTTGGGAGAGGTGTTGTTGACCTGGACCTCATGCTGATCACCAGAAGCTGCTCCATCAACTCCATCAGCTGGATTGTTTAGTCCTGTTGCCTGTGAAATCTCAGGGTTTCCGTCAACGTTCGAGGCTGGTCTCTCCTCAGTGAGCAGAACTGGGTCTCTCGATAAAGATTCTGAATTGGAGAGTGTCACTGGGGTGGATGAACTGTCCACAGGTGGGGGCGGTGTGTTTAGAGGCTCATCACTTTCCATTTGTGGTCCACTGTTCGTTGATGGGTTTTCTTTCCTAATGGAGTTCCCAGCAGCAGGTGAGAAGCTGACTAACAGTCTGGCTGAGCTGTTCTCAATTCTAGACGTTCTGCCATTCGAGTCCAAAACAGTTTTTTTTAACAAGTTGGATGCAGGGGATTTTCTGGTTTTACGCTCCTGCCCAGCTCTCGCCTTCAGCACTCCTGATGTTGCGTCTGAAGTATTTCCATCACTTTGGGAAGGACCTGAAGAATAAGACAAATCAAACCTGACCTATTATCCATTTTCTCGTTATTGTGCTCTATTCAGGTCAGTAAAAGTCAGAAATAAAATAGTTTCAAAAGAGGAAAAATAGTCTTGACTTTGGAGAAGAGCTATAACTATGGAGAAATGATGATGATAAAGTTCTGAAAGATTTACCACCCACTCACATCTATATTGCCCTGTGTTGAAAAGAGACTGAATACCTGGATCGCAACTTTGGAGGACGTGGACAGCAGATGGGAGTCCAGCTGTCTCATTCTCTTCAGAAATACAAGCATTGCTGCCATCCCCTGCATCTCCATCAGCATTTTTAGTTTTATCTGCAAAATTACAAAAGAATTCTCAAAACAACTTTCATATTCATTTAGAAACTTTGATTTTGATACAATGTGGAGGATAGTTACGGTAATCAAAAAGGTCAAAGAGGGCCTGAAAAGCCGGGTCGGATTCAGTTTGCTCCAAAATGTCATGGATGGCATCATCGCTCATATGGATTTCTCCCTGATAATAATAATTATACGCAAAAATTAAGGAAGACCGCGTGAATTTAGGAGTATTTATGGGAACAAATAGTGCTCTGCTAGATGTTTTAGTACCTCTAGTCCTAGAATCTCATCTATAGACTGGTCTGGCTCAACTGCACTTGAAGAAGCTTTGGATGTTTGTGGTACTGCATCACTGGCATCAGGAACAAAAAACATGTTTAGTACAGAAATATTATTTTAAGCCTGCTTAGAAGGTATTTTTGTCACCATCAGCTTCATCAAAACACTGAAAACAGATTCTCAACATACCTGGCAAGGATTTTGTTGATGTTTTCAGCAAGTTTCTCTTGCAGTGCCCTGTCCCCCAAAATCTTGTCGCGTGCATTTTGTATCACAAGTTGCTGTGAAGATTTTAATGTTTTAAAAGTTAAGACAGCTTTCAGGAAAGCTCAACGTGTGATGTTTTAACTGGGGCTTTCATGCACCAGGAAAATATGCAACATGTATCAATGTTTTATTTTTTTTTATAGCACAGAAAAAAAGAAGAAAGAAAGCAGAAAGATGGCAAGAGATGGAGAAAAAAACATTTCGACAATGGAACTAAAGTATAAAAATATATATATATATTTTTCCCACTCCATTTTATTTACAGTTTTCAACTATTTCTCTATAAAAGAAGAACCAAGCTTCTCAACATAAACTCACTGGAAAATTCTCCTTGACAACCTCCTCAGACTGGACGTCTGTAGTTACATTAGCGGCAGTCATGGCAGATTTACCGGGACCACCTGACCCTGTCAGACCACTTCTCTTCCTGGGAGTGTCCCTGAATGCAGAAAATAGGTTGTAGTAAAGGACACAAAAGGATATGTGGACAAATACATTAACAGGTCATCTGTTATATTTGTCTAGCAACAAACTAGGGCAGCATAATATTAGGAAATATGTCATGTGTGACGATATTGATGAAAATAAATAACGATGATCTGCAATTAGTAATCGGTGCGTTAATGTGGGAGTAATGTCCAGCCCTGGTCCTGTAAAACATCTTAAAACCTACACTTTTTTTTTAATCTTTATCAAAGTCTGTTTTAATTATCAGTTGTGGAAAAGATATGTATTATTTTTTGTAATACTCTTTATTTGCATCCCACAAAGAGAGAGAAAAAACAGCCTCTGATCTTAGTGCAAGTTAAAAGTAGGTCTTTATGATATTAAATAAGTACTTATACAATTCTATTCTGTAGTTGTTCTTTCCCATCCTTACCATTTCCTTCGACCAGGAGAAACTGGGCCTGAAGTGAGGCGATGCTCTGAAACAATAACTTGTACAGGAGAATCTCCTGCGAAATACAATGATAAGGTACAATGTTCAACTACAGCGACTGATTTAATAGCAAAAACAGAAGCTAATGGAGTTTGACCCAAACTGACAAAGGATTTTCAAATCAAAATGCACAATATTAAATGCATCCAAACAAATCCACCGCAATACTGACGGGGTGTGCTGAGTAATCGGTTCCCATCGTGGACCGGCTGCTGCGCCCCGCTGCTGGCTGTGGGTCTGGTCTGAGGATTGGTGAAGCTAACAGGAGTGGAGTGACCTAGCATGCTGTGGGTGGTGTGGGTGGGGCTGATGAAGGAGCTGCTTTCTGAAACGGAGGAGCAGACAACACCGCTTGGAGACGCCACTGTCAGGACCCGCTGCCTCGCCACGTTTGCCACCCCGACGCGTGAACGTACTGCAACAGACAGAGACTGGTAAAAATCTGGATCGTACACTAAATGCAGTATTTGCAGGTGCATTGCAGGAAAACCCCTACATGACTCTTTGGTCTGTGCATGCTATTAGATCACTGAAATGCTTTTGGGAAACATACGATTAACACACTAATTACAAATGTAAAAACAAATCACCGTTTAAATGTACAAGTCCAAAAAAATGAGAATGATATTCATAAAGCTATACTTTCAGATATAGGTTGTGCAATTATTACATTTTGCATTTTAAAAAAAAGGTAAGCCTTAAAAAAAAAACATAAAAGCGGGATTTTTCTTAAACTAATGATGCCACATTTCAAAGGGAACACACATACTTAATTTGTAAGTATGTGTGTATTTCTCCAAATGTAATAAATGACCAAAAATCAATGTTGAACAAAAATAATTGTAATTAAACTCCCCCATCCCCCAATCCATCAGCTTGATTTCAGGATATACTAAATTTAAATTTCTTAAAAACTGGTATTTTAAGAAAATTTGAAACATATATGCTCCTTTATCAGTAACTGATTCATATCTGTTCTGTACTATTTAATGATAAAATATCTGATCTGACAGTGATCAGAAAGCACTTACTCCTCTGACTCGCAGATATAGAAGGGGAATTCTGCAATGATCTGGAAAATAATTTAGAAATATCAGATCAACAAAAGTTCATCTCAAAACATCAACAGACTTAAATGTTAAAGACAAATATTACTTGATTTGGTTGAGGGTGAAATCCAGCTTTTTCCACAAAGATGTCATCACAAGAGGGACTTCATGTCCAGAGTCTTTTAGAAAACAACAACAAAACAGTTGTCACAATCCGCTTAGAGTAAAAGCGTATAAACATATTGCAAAACATGAAAGTCACCTTTACCTTTTGCTTTAGCAGCCACATACTCATTCAAGATGGCTGTTAAGCCCTTCCCGAAGATAGACTGTGCATGTGTGAGGGAAGAGTTTGTTAATATCTGTGCGTGGCAATCTGAACAATGAAAGACAGGGACATTTGTGGACAGCTTTTGGACTCACAAAAACACAGGCAGGGATCACCCCGTCTCCTGCAGTGTGCTCGGCGTACTCCTTCAGGTTCGGACTCTCGTGGATGAAGGCTTGGCTTGTAGCTGACAGCCCCTCTTCCTGGAGGTACCCTGCACAAAGCAAACAAAAAAGACAGGTGTTAAAAAGTTAGCACTGTGGCACAGTGACTCTGCCACCGTTCTCACTTCGTTATGGCTACCAGCTAAAGCTACAAGCAGCTGTAGCTTTATGTCCGGCTCACCCAAAACAAGCCGAGCGACGTCAGAAGGGAGCAACATGACAGCTTTAGGTGTAATGAATTAAAGTAGAGAGCGAATAAATGGCTACATGTCCAACAAATTGCTAATAAAAGTCGCAACATAACCCCGGATTAAAGGACGTCATTGGTGTTATAATGAGGGCAACATCCTGATTGAACTCCTGCTTTCTCAAACGGCGGGGAACTCGAGAACCCGGAAGTAGCAGCTCAAGCTACTGCTCACATTTCTGGTAATTGTAGTCCATTCTGGATCTATGAACGTCAAAATATCATATAAGGGCGACATGAACACACAAGCATGCAGTATGTTGGAACGTGACTAAATACTAAAACAAACTTCTGGACTGTTTCGTTCTCAAAACTGCATTAATTCTATTTTTGACGTCAAAAGCCAAGCGGATAAACTCACTTCCGTCTTTCCTAAAACTAGGAAGTGAAAGGCACATCGCAGCGCTCGTCCTGGGGCGGGAATATTTCTGCGTGGCTTGCGTGAGTGTGCGTGAGCTTTGTTGCACGCCAAGATGGCAAGTTGAACTGCGAAACGTCCTGTTATTTTCTGCACCTGGTCCAGCAGCGGGTTGTTGACTCCAGTCGGTGCAGACCAGTGAGGTCGGTGAGCATGCCCAGGCAGTGAAAGTTCAAATGAAGCGCTGTAAATCAACTTTAGAGCTGGTTTCGTTTCTTCTTAGTCTGCGTGCATGATCACATTGCACGTGCAAATGTTGTATTTTATTGGAAGTTATGCGTATTTAAGTGCTTTGACATTAGAGAATAAAGCTGATACCTGTCTGCCAGCCTATTGATTGATTATTTTAGATCTGGTTCCTACTAAATTATTATGATTTGATCGTCCATCTCTGGCCAGGGTGTTTTCCACTTCACTTAAAAGGCCACAGCACAGCAGATTGCACCCGTTGCGTCACAGATTTGTGGCATCCCAAAGTCAGAAGTGAAGTGTTCATATTCTGTACACGTTATGTTTTGTCTTATTTAGGTGCAAAGAATATTTTTGCTCAATACCAACTTTCTCAAACCTTTTGGATGCCTATGGCTAAATATAATGATTTCAAGCACATGCAATGGGAAAATAACATAATACAATGTTATTTGTGAGTGTGTGCTAATGAAGGATTGGTTGAACTATGTATAGAAGTTGTTTCATTGTGGACTGTTATGTACCAAATTATTTTACTGATATTAGAAAAGATGGAGTTGCCTTTTGCCTTGGTTTAGAAAGGAAAGTTTTTATTGATGTTTTAGAAAGAAACAAGGATTAGTTGTGAGGATCAAGGATCCCCTGCTGTTTTATGACACACTAAAGGTACATCTGTGTGAGATCAGTGTATGTGTTCTCCCTATTGGGGTTAATAAATTGCCCACACAAGGTCTGGTTGTTTAAATATTTGTTTATAACCAAATTTCTGCTTCCTTTTGCTCTTCTAATTAAATCAGAAGAGCAGTGAGAAGCCAACTTGCGTCAATCTGTAGTTAGCAATGATCCACGCTTGTCCTCTCTGATTCCTCTTCTTTGTTTTTTGTGGAAAGAGTCCATCTTGCCCTGGTGTGATCTGTTCATTTGTTTTTTGGTCGTAAGGATGTTGATATTGTTTATCCGCCTGTTCCTGCAGCTGTAACCAGCTACAAGCTGTTGCCACAATGAGTCTGGTTCTTCATGATCTCCTGGTCTGCTGCAGAGGGTTGGAAAATGACAAAGCTACAGAGAGGAAGGTGAGCAAACTAAGAAGATCTGAATGCCTTTAATCCCTTATCACTAGTAAATTTATCACTTATTTTGTGACCCGATTTGTGGAACCAGAAAGAAACTGAACGGTTTAGAAGACTCATTCGTTCTAATGAAGTGATGGAAGAATTGGATCGTACCTCTGGGACCAAAGCTAAAGCCTCTAATCAGCTCACATGGGATGCTGTTTTCAGGTAAATATCCAGAGATATACATTTTTTTATCTCTGCTCGATAATTTCTTGAGATACTGTGCTAAACTTTCATCCTACTTTTTTCTCTAATATAATTTTAAAACACTGATCACCTTGTTTTAATAATTTTCCCAATTTTATCTTCTTCATCTAGGCACAGCCTGCAATTACATCTCATATTTTACTCAAGGAAAATGCTTTTATGAAATGAAAGCTTTAATTTTTGTTTTGCTCAGTCCAGTTTTTTTTCCCCTCATCAGATTCCTGCAGCGTTTTGTCCAGAAGGAGACTGAGAGCATGCAGTCGAGTAAATCCAACGTCACAGTGACTACGTTGGCCACACGGCAGAAGAAGATGGCCGAAACGTGCAGCTTAGTCAAGTTTTTCATTCGCTGTGCAAACAAACGTAAGGGCAAGATTTCCAACTTAGGTTAAAAAATGCAAGATTGATAAAATTATCTATGTGAAAGCAAATTGTTTCATACATTAAAACAATATTTTGTTACCTCACCTACTTACTGGACCCTACTTACAGGATTGGGATGGTTTTTTAACTCTCTTCAACACAAAAATCTTTGAAGATGTAATGTGAACTCCGTGTCTAAGGCTTGTTTTGTGCAGGTGGGCCTCGTCTGAAGTGCAGCGAGCTGCTGAAACACGTGATGGAGGTGCTGCAAAGTTCGTATTGCTGCGCAGCATATGGAGAGAATTACAGCAGCCTTCTTTTAAAGGACATTCTCTCTGTCCGCAAGTACTGGTGTGACATCACTCGGCAGCAGTGGCAGAGTAAGTGGCTAATTAGTTTAAAGGTGTGAAAACTCAAAAATCCATTTATTCTGGAGGCCTTTACCAAGAGACAAGTCAAAACATCAAGATCAACATTGGGTTTTCAGTATCACAAAGCTGATTTCTCATCACCAATCTATATAAAAAATATGAGAAAATGTCAAAACTGCTTGAGTCAACTTTGTATCATATTTCAGTTTAGTTATTTACTTTTGATATGGTTATGTAAAACTCTAAAACTGATGACTCTAACGCTATTTTCTATTGACCTTGTAACTAACAGCAGATTTGAATTCCTTTTGCAATAATAAAAAGTGAAACTCCTGCAGTTTTTCCATAGGAGCACACAACATACTCTTGCTCACTCACATATTTTCATATTGAATTCCAAACCTTTATAAAATGTTATAAGTCTTATATGAGTGTTATATGAGTTAGAAGTCTCATATTTGTGATGTGACAACAACTTAAACTTTGTCACAGATCTTATACTTTGCAGGTCTGATTGTACATTAAGTTTAGAAAATAATAATTTAAATAACTAGATGTACATATTTTTTTAGATGGATTTTATAAATTTACTTTTCTTATGTTGCTGCTCTGTTGCTTTCACTTATTTATTATTAATATAAATTCTAATCATACCAGCTACATTAGTCTCATCTGCTGTACAGTGTTACAAAACTGCTATATACCTAGATGAATAAGATTTCTATCATCACTTTAACACAGGATGCCTCTCACTGGAACTGTAAGAAAGTCTTAAAAGTCATCCTGATAACTTAGGTGTATTTGTACTTTTACTTTTTGATGTAAAGGTCTTTTGGAGTTGTACTGCAGCTTGTTCAACTCTTCATCCAAATCCATCAACCGTGTGCTGCTGAGCAGAGTCATCTACGCTGTGGTGAAGGGCTGCTGCACTCAGACTGACGGATTTAATGACAGTTTGTTCAGCTTCTTCTCTAAAGCAATGCTTAACGCCAGGTAGAAACCGTGATCATTATAAATTGTTTCACTTCTGTTGTAAACTGTGGTAAACCCCATGGACCTGTTTCTCCTGCCACCATCCCAGGCAGGAGAAACACCTCAGTGTCCTGGAGCATCTCGTCTTGGCTCTGAACATCTTCCTGAGATCTGCCGCTATGAACTGCCGGATGAGAGTATGTCGTCTCGGAGAGGAGCTTCTTCCCTCTTTATTGAACGTCTGGGAGGACATGAGGCCGAGTGCCAACCTGAAGGAGGAGATTGTGGAGTTCTTCAACCTGCAGCTCCGTGTTCACCATCCAAAGGGGGCAAAGACTCAAGACACAGGTTCGGTGTTCGAATGTCATCAAAAACGATGTCCTGTGTGGGATTAACATTACAGTAGACCTTTTACATAAAATTTACATTCTGCGCATCTTTGTATGTCCATTTGGATCTCAACTGTCTCCATGTTAAATCCACCCAGTATAGTAGGTTGCCTTTGAAATTTGTGTTTGACAGCAGTTGGAATGTGATTTAGAAGAATTGAAAGTTGCCCCAAATTTTCCTTAATTCAAATGATGATCTTTGTTTTTAGGTGCGCATGCGGAGGACTGGTCCAGGTGGCGCAACCTGCTGTACAACCTGTATGACGGTTTAGTCAGAGAGATCAGCCATATTGGCAGCAGAGGGAAGTACGTCACTGGGACCAGACACATCGCTGTGAAAGATAACCTCATTGAACTCACTGCTGACATCTGTCACCAGGTAAAAAGCATTACTCCTGGTCTCCCAACATTTGCATAAATGCAAAGCAGATCAGATCTGAGTTTGAAGTTGCAGTCCAGTGTATGTTTAACACCCTTCTGTCTTGTGTGGGATTGCTACAGCTGTTCAGTGTTGACAGTGATGCCCATGTGCTGGAGGTCACTCAGCCCCAACACAGAGCCACGCAGATGGGCAGTCCCTGCCATGGAGCAGCCAGCAAGCGGCGCCGCATAGAAATGGGCTGGGATGTTCTCCGTGACCATCTGCAACCTCAGCAGAGTGACTTTGATGTCATACCATGGTATGAAAGTCAAACAGCATTCAAAAAAGTTACCTCACATTCACTCAAACCTGTGTTTTCTTCTCTCAGGCTGCAGGTAACAGCAGTGCTTCTCTCCAAGTACCCATCCATGGTGCCCGGTAAGGAGCTGGTCCAGCTGCTGTCGCTCTTGTGTCAGCTCCTGTCAGAGCAGCGTAGAGGAGAGAGGGGGGCATATGTGCTGCGCTGTCTGAGGGAGATGGCCCACTGCCAGGCCCGCATCCTTCAGAGAGCTCAACCCCACAGGGCAGAGCTGGTCAGGCTGTGGCTCCGGATCTGGCCCCTCGCACTGCGTGGGGTCAGTTCGCCTCAGACTGAGTCCCTCAGTCTGGACCTGCTGGCCTCCATAGTACACAGGCGGCTAATCAATATGGACAGGGAGTTCTGGAAACTCTTCCGCGCATCTGCATGCAAACCCACCCAGTGAGTCGCAGTTGCTTTGTTCATTGCTGCATTCAATATGGATTTGTAGCTACTATGTAGATTAATTTATCTGCATGTTTGTCTTGTCCACTTTTTTTCAGGAGTGCTGCTCTCTGTCTGGCCCAGGCCATGCTAACATGCTCAATACCAAAGACTTTTGCATCAAGCTCAGGTTTTGACTACATGGTGACCTCAGAGGGGAATCCCTCCACTAATCTGAAAGAGAGCCTCATAGCCTGGCTGCTGATGAGTGACCAGAATGAAGAGATGGAGGACAGCTGCACGCCCCACCCCATCATCTGCAGGTTGTTTTTTTTGTACTTTCACTTTGCATTATTGTAATTTTATTATATTTACTTTTTGTTCAGATATTTATTTTCCTTTTTTTGTCTATGAAATCATTTTTGCATGTGGTATTTATGGGTTATTGTGTTGTTGTCTGCAGAGACTTCCCTCATAATCTTATTGCAAGCATTCTGGTCTCACTGACCTTCAAGGACACCAGTGCTGGGCTGAAGTTCCTGCTGGGTAGTGAAGGACTAAAAGGGTAAAAAAAGAATCCAGTACCTGTTAAGAAACTTTTAACTCCATTTAATTTCCCTGCTTTATTTCTTTTTAAGTGCCGTTAGTCAAGACGATTCATCCGATGCCAAAGACAAATTGGAAGACATAGAGAGACTGTACCAGCAGTTCAGCTTCAACACGCTGCCATCAGAAGTCAGAGCAACAGACGATGAGTCGGTAAAGATGGCATCAGCTGACGTTCAGCTGGTTGCTGTCCCCACCCTCAGAAACAAGCTGGAGCAGTACCTGCTCTCTGTGGCCGACAGCCTCCTCAGCTGCTACTCCCCCGATGTGAGCAAAGGTTGATTTGTCTTGTAGTGTTTAACCTGTTCACATGTTTGAAACTGATGCATGTCGTGATTGATCTTCTGTAGTCTCAGTCCACGCCTCCTGAGTGCCTGGTGCGCTGTTTCAGCCAGCTGACGGGTGTGCTGGCAGGTTTTGTCGCGGCAGGGCTTGTGACTGAAGAGGAGGCCTGCCGCTCTCCGCTTTTCACCAAAGCAAAGGTCTGTTCACACTCACATCCGTTCGGAAAATCCAGCCTCAAGTGATTTCCCTCAATGCTGATAAAACAGAACAGTCAAATATTAACGTGAAGGTTTTAATGTCGTTGCTGCCAGGCTGTGGCGCAGGACCTCAGTGGCTTTGTTTCCAGTGTCAAAGTGAAAATGAACGAGGAGGGAACCATGTCAGCACTCAGATCACTCATGAAGCTTTGCACACAGTGTACCAACAGAGCATCTATGGTGACATCACCTGCCATTTTGATGGTTTTGATCAAAAGTTTAATAAATTAGTGGTTTAAATGAGTAGACTGATCATTTATTCTGCAGGACAAAGTTAGATCGATCTCCTCTGGCTTATTCCTGATGACTCTGCCTGCCAGCCTGCTCAGTGAACTGGCAGAAATCTGCAAACTGCATGTGGTAAGTAGCTCATCTAAGGTGAATTTGTCACATGGATTTCACAAAGTGGAACCAGATCTCTGAATTTTTCAACTCGCCGCTTCAGTTGAACAATGTCTCTAAGCGGGTCAGTCTCACGGATGATGACGAACAAGGGGATGATGAGTGGGAAATGACAAAACATCCTCAGGCTGGTGACGGCATCGACCTGTTTGAAGACGGCGAGGAGGCCCACAGCAGTTCCAACGGGAGTCACAGACAGAAAGAGGACAATGCTGACCCCTGTGGCCCAGGTAAGAGGAGACCTGACCTGTAGGAAGAACTACAGGTTTTGAAAGTGTAAAAGCAGCTGCTGGAACGTTGAAGGTCTGCAGCCTGTGAAAGATTTTCTTCTGGATTTTTCCTGCAATTAACTTGGATTGTGTGGTTGCTATGGTTCCTATAGCAACCACATTTATCGACTTGCACACCTGAAATTTGCCATTTTTATACATTGGTAGATTTGTTCTTGTGCTATGCTGTGTTCTATGTTAGAAAAGACAAAGTTAAAGAAAAGACACAATAATAATATTAAGCATTGATAATATGAAAGTTTAAGATTGGTCATTGGTCTAACTCAAACAGGTGCCAAAAGCCTGCTAACGGAAGCCTATCTGGGAAAACAGGACCTGGCTCTCCTCGCTGTCTTGAACTTCCTGTGCGAGTGCAGCTCTGCTCCGCCTCTCCACGGCCTCCTTTTCAAGCCTCAGGAGGTGCGGCGCAGGCTGCTGCTCCTGCTGGATCAGATTGACTTCGGGAAAGCTCTGCACCTCAACATGGTGAGCAACAGTCTTCCTGGACGATAAATGGACGATAAATGGAAGCTGAACTCTGCTTCCGTTTCAGTATTTCGTTCTGTTGAAGAAGCTTCCTGCTGAAGACTCGCTGTCTCCGGAGGAGTTTGACGCTCTGCTCCGTCCTCTTGCGTAAGGAAATGTTTCCATCTCAAAACGCAAATCAGTTTTTTTTTCTGAGGTTGCAGACCAGATGTGAACAGCTGTATGTCCTTCTTTATCCACAGGGACTTGTGTTCTTTGTATCGTCAGGACCAGGAAGTCTGTGCTGCTGTGCTGCTCAGTTTGTTACCGTCCATTCAGAGCCTGGGGAAGACCCGTCACATGCCCGAGGAGATGAAACATGTTCAGGGATCTCTTCTGCAAGTTCTGTCTGGCTTCTGGTAATAAGCATCACTTTATGCACCACAAACACATTTCTATTTAAATGTATCTATATAAAGAAATTATGTAATTAAAGCTTTTTTGTGTGTTTATTTGTCTGTGCTAATGGCAAAGAAACAATTTACTTTCCCAGGAAAACTGTTTATCTGCCATCATTGGTAGCTATGCTAACTAACTGTAGCAGCTAGCAGTGCGTACACAAGCAGATCGACAGAGTTAAGACCCTCCTCCTGGCTCTGATTGGTTTCTGACCAGGCGGTGTATTTCTGTGGGTGACAGCAGAGGAACTTTATTATATTTCCACAGATCATCTCTCGTATACTGTCAGAACATAATGATGTTTTTAACAAAAAAAAAAAAAACATATTTATAAGTGTTGCAAACTGAAGCTTTAATATTTGTGTTCCTCTCTATCTACAACTTTGATGTTTTTTTTTTTTTTTTTTTTAGTTTCTTGAGCCAGACGGGAAAATGTGTGGCGACTGTCCGAGCTGCGTTGGTTCAGTGTCTTGTCACCTTGCTGGAGGTAAAGTTTAAAACCCTTAGGAAAAGTTTATTTTGTTCCTCAAACATTTCAGCCTGATACATTTTTTCTCTTACACATGTAATTCAGCACATAACATCTGAAAGTGACTTGAATTCTTACATCGTCTCTCACTTAGGCTGACCCTCTGTGCCACTGGGCTGTCCTGAACCTCAGAGGGGCCGAAACAGAGAAAGACTCTCCTGTATCGTTGGTTCTTCCGTCTCATCTGGCAGACGCACACCACCAAGTCCGCATGCTGGTAGCTCTGTCTGTGGAGAGGTGAGCTTCAGCTTCATGAACCTTAAATCTACTGAAGGCAGATCTGAATAATCTGGAAAAACAGGCAGATGTAAATGTACAGCTTAAGAGATTTGGGACAAATATAGGCAACGGATAAAGTTATACAAAAAGTATTATTGATGTAACATTTTACATCTTTGTCCAATTTTTCAGTGAACTTTGTGTTAATTTCCTAACCATCGTCTCCACTCTGTGTTGTTGCAAGATAAACTTTTCCCACCTTCTTTGCCACGGTTCCAGTTGTTGTATATTTTTTATTACTGGACTGACTTTAGACATGATCAAGTTTAGTTGAGCAGCTATTTTTTTCTAGCAGTTATTTGGACAGAAGGTCATATATGTGGTTGATGCATGTTCTCTTGTCTTTTCCATTCTGAAGAATGGCAAAGAGAAATTGGACTCTGTCTAACTCCGTGAAAATAGGAAGTGATGGAAAACTAACAAAGCGTTTCTCATCACTGATCAACTTGAAAAGTAAATTATAGAAAAAAAATGCACAATTTCCTAAACAAAATGTAAATGATCTTTGGTATTTTCTGCTCTTTAACCAGGCTGTTCCTTGATTTGAGACCAAATTGCTCAGATAAGAGGAAGATGTTGCCACTAAAACACCAGCAAGCAGCATTTGAGAACATCTACCTGAAGGCTCAAGAGGGCATGAGGATCCCGGTGAGGTCATGCAGCAGGTTGCCGTGCTTCAAGAACTTCACTTCTGTTGCTTAATGTAAACTTTTCTCATGCTCTCTTCTCGTGGGTGATCACACAGAGGGGCAGCTCCTCAGAGGATCAGCTGGACGAAGTGTTGAATCGCAAAGCCACTCTGCTGAGGAGTCTGTCTGTGGTGCTGTGCTGTAGCCCTGTGTGTGAGAAACAGTGCCTGTTTGCACTCTTTCAGTCCTACAAGGAGAACAATGTTGAGGAGGACCTCATCAAGAAGGTAACGGATCGAAATACATTATCTCCGTTCTCCTTTCACTCTTACCTTCCTGATATCTGAGTGGATCTTGTGCTCTGCCTGGTTTTCTATCGCAGATGTTGTGCAGTGTCTCCAAAGTGAAGAGCTGCAGGAGTGTGAAAACATTTGTCACTTCTCACCTGAACTACCTGGTAGCAGAGTGGCTCGCACAGAGGCAGTCAGATGACCGCTACACTCTTGGATCTTTCCCCTACAGCCTGCTGGACCAGAGCACAGTCAAAGATTTCTACAAGTCAGAAAAGCTTTGTTTTCCCTCATGTTTAAATTTAAACAACGGTTTTCTCACACTTACCTCCTCGTCCACACTTTCAGCTCTTATTACCAGGTGCTGATCCCTCACCTGGTCTTTTTGGACGACTTTGAGCAGGTGAGGTCCATCGGGCGGTGCCTGGAGAGGGACTGGAGGCACTTACTAGCCGACTGTTTCCCCAAGATTATGGTGAACATCCTGCCATACTTTGCCTTAAAAGGCCAGGACTCTCAGGTTGCACAGCAGAGAGAGAAGGCACACCGAGTGTACGACCTCCTCAAAGATGGCAGCTGTCTGGGCAAACAGGTGAAGTGGAGTGTAAAACAGAAAAAATAAATGGAAATTTTGTTTAGCCCACACCACAAAAATAACTTTTGAAAGCAGGAAAAGGTAGAGATTTCCTTTAACTTCTGCATTCACAAATGATTAAAATTGGAATATGTTGTGGGCAGGATAATTGGCTTGAGCTGATAAAGTATTTTCCATGTGAAAATTGGATAAATACCAGGAAGGTCTTTGCAAAATCCCATTTGGAATCATAAATTCTCCTCCATATTTGGAAATTTGCCCACAGCAAATCGACAGCCTGATTCACAGTAACTTGGCGGACATCGTAGTGGAGCTGCTGATGACTCTGTATGAAGGCTGTGGACCAGACGGAGACCTGAAATGCTTTACAGGGTAGTGACACTTTAGCACACTTTCCTGTAACTTTTCTTTGCAACTTCATTTCATCTGTGTCTCATTCTGTTATGCATTGGAGTGGCACCTGAAGCAGATTGGTTTTATGTCCCACAGAGAGCTGGATCCCGTACCAAATCCGCCTCACTTCAGCTCGTACGTCATCAAAGCCACTCTGGACTACCTCAGCAAATGCCACAGTGCCAGCCACAAGTCTCTGGTGGCCATTCTGTCTAAAACCCCGGTACAGATACCTCATTTACCAATTCAGTAAAATGTATCTGTTTATAGTAAAGAAGGTAATCTTTTCCCCTGTCTGTTGCCAGCAGATTTCCATCCAGAAGATCTTGCTGGCAGTGTGTGAAAAAGCAGCAGAGACGAGCAACAGCTACGAGCGCCACCGCATCCTCCTCATGTACCATTTGTTTGTCAGCCTGCTGCTCAGGGAGGTGAAGGACGGTCTGGGAGGAGCCTGGGCCTTCGTCCTCAGAGACATCATCTACTCTCTCATTCACCACATCAACAGCAGGTTAGTGAACACTAACACTTTGTTTTTCTAAAGCCGAGAAAGTGAACAGCTTTATGTTCCTCCTGAACCACAGACAGCTTCACTGTGACGAGGTGTCCAACAGGAGCCTGTCTCTGTGCCTCGACCTGCTCAGCTCTGTGTGTCACGCAGCACTGCAGTTCTGTGATGACGCTCTTGACTGCCACCTGCAGGTCATTGTGGGGACTCTCACTGCTCTGGTCACCAGTCAGCCGTGCATTTCTCAGCAGGTAGGTCACATGTTACTCTGGTCAACAGCCAAAGAAAAACCGTGGGGTTTTTCAACTGTCTGAGGGTAATTCTGATGTGCTGAATCAAAAAATGACCTTGGTCTTGCTCAATCAGGTCAACTTTCTGAACTAAGCTACGTATTAGTTTGGGATGCTGGGATGCAGTCATGATGGCTGATTACTGTTGTACATTAAAGAGAGATATCCCTGCTGCTGCTGAGTATATGAGGCGTTCAAAGAAATGGAAGTTCATGCCCTGAATTATGCACAACGATAAGTGCAATTTACATGCACTTACCCTTATTATTATTTATTATTCAGTTTACTGAAATCCAAATTTGTATCATTTCATTAATACACTCTGTTCGAAACTTGTTTTTTCTCCTAAAACCTTCTTTGGATGAAAGATATTAACGGAAATGAACTGATAATGTCACAATTTAGTCCGAAGATCAGATTCTCTAAATCAAATTAGAATAAAAACCTGACTTGACTGAGAATAGTGGATGCCATTTTTGGATTCAGTGCTAATTCAATTTAAAAAACATAGACAACTTCCAAATATATTTTTTTAAACCCAGTGTTACTGAATCTTTATTTATGTAAGCCTCTCTTAAATTTGATGGCATCTATGGGTATGTTTTCAACATGCCTGGGTTATTTTATATATCAGAAAATAAGTATAGTACTGAAAAAGAATTACAATGCATAAAATATGCAGATTAATAGGAGCATTTGTTTCCCAATGCTGCAGTTTAAACCCCTTTATTAAATCAGAATGTGCCAAATCAAATGCTCATTACTGTGGTAATATTATCTGTCGCCTCCTTTTAGTTTGTGTACTTTATAGTTCTGAATTGTTTTGTCCCCAAGGTGCTTAGTCTGCTGGAGTTTCTGGTAATAGAGAGTCAGCAGAAACTAAAAGGAGCCATCAGCAGATTGGAGCCGTTTCCTGACATCCCTGAGTTCAGAGAGCTGCGCTCAGTGCAGCACAAACTCAAATATAACAGCGGCAGCTTCACACTGAGACAGGTACATGTGTGCGACCTTGCAATGTGATTTTCTATTGATATAAACCACAAACAATTAGGGCAAGAAAAACAGATTTAAGTTTGTAGTTGCCCTGCAAGAAAATACGATAAAGTTCATCGACATTGTATTTCCTTTATCCTTTTACAGGAAATAACTCATTTCCTATCGGCATCATCATGTGACTCTTTACCTCTGACCAGACTGGAGGGGCTAAAGGAGCTGACTCGGCAGCTGCATCGCAACAAAGACCAGATCCGAGAGCTGCTCAAAGAGTGCCATGGTGTGATGCTGCAAAACAGCATTTGCTTTAAAAAAATTGACTGTTTGTTGTTATAAATATTTCTTTTCTCTGGATGCAGCTAACCCCACTGACAGTGTCCTGGTGAAACTGGTGCTCAGTCTGCTGCAGCTCTGCAAACTGGCTGCCAGTCACCCTGGAGGAATTGACATTCTGGGTAAAATAAAATCGGGGGATTTTTAAATTTATTTTATTTTTTTCCTCCAGTCGTAATTTCCCAGTTTCTTATATTCTTGTGGGGTCGTACTTTTAACCTTTGCTGCAGAGGCTGCTGGCTCCTGTCTTGGTGAACTGGGTCCAGTTGACTTCTCCACCATCGCCCTCCTTCACAGTAGAGACCCCCTCTATGAGAGAGCCGCATCCCTCTTCGTCTCCAATGATTTGCAGCATCTTTACATCATCCTGAACTGCATGAACGACGCTCTCACACAGCAGCGGTATGATAAATGCTCCGGCTCTGTGATCAGTTTGTTTATCTCAAGATGTTTGGGTAATGATGGTGCTCACTCTTATCTGTCAGCATTGAGATGAGAGGAGCTGCAGCTCAGTGTGTGAAGAACATCCTGGCCACTCAGTCTGGCGTCGACTTCTGGGACCGACATAAAGACAACCGGGACCCCATGCTAGCTTACCTCAATCCATTTAGAACAGCCAAAAACAAGGTGAACTTTTTTGTCCTCTAAGCACTTTGAGTTTCGCTCTCTGTGAACAACGTTATGACAGTGAATCTTAGAGCGTATCTGACATTTTGTTGTGTGTGTTTGCCTTTATGTTGGCATCTTTACCAGGTGGCTGCTGTGACTGCTGAGGAGAGTTCAGAGGCCAAGAGGAAGCTGGAGAGTCAGGAGTTTTGGACCCCTCAGGCAGGGGCCCACCAGGCCTGGCTGAAGGCTCTGTGCACAGCACTGCTGGACAGCGGAGGGGTGAGAAGCGAGGCACTGCTGCTGTCACGACCTCTGTGTCTGGTGAGCTCATTAGGTTTCTGCATTGTTTACACAGGAACTGCCTTTAAACTAAAGCTTTAGTTGTTCCAGTGTCATTTAGTCACAAATTCTCCATGACATTAAAGTTTGAAATCCATCTCCAGGTGATGGTGGACTGCTGCCAGAGGCTGCTGCCCCTGATCATCCACTCCATCCTGCTGGACGACCCTGACGGCTCCTGGAGGGAGCTGCTCTCGTCACACATTCAGGACTTCTTCAGCTTCTGTTCCAGGAGCGCTCAGGCCGCCAGTCGATCCGCAACACCTCTGAACTCCGAATCTGGTGAGTTTGAGTCCGTTACAGACCAGCACAATATGTCTTGTTCAATGTTTTGTGATGAAAAGATCACAAAACATGTTTATAATTTCTCACAGAGTCTGATTCCGCAAGCCAGGGTTTGTATGATAAAAGCTCCCTTCGAACCATGCTGACAGTTATTGACTATTTGAGACACCAACAAAGACAAGTGCAAAATGACAGGTTTGTTATTATTTATTATCCATCTATTTTTCAGCTTCCTCCTGTTAATTTAGACGTAGAACAGAAGATGTGTGTCATAATAACTTATAGCACATTCAAAAGAAGAGGTTCTTCATATTTTTTGCAATGTTTATAAAAATATAAATGCTGACCTTCTTGCAGTAACTCCTGTGGCACCGTGTGCGAGTCCAACTTCTGGTTGGAGCTGAACTACCTGGAGGTGGCCCAAGCCGCTCAGTCCTGCTCGGCTCATTTCACAGCTCTGCTGTATGCTGAGATCTATGTGGACAAGATCCGAGCCAACATGGAGGAGAACTGCAGGTTTCCAAGAAGACCTTTGTTTTTACAATGCTGTTAACTTGAGAATTTATTCATTTGTCTGTCTTGAACAAATGTGCAGAACCAAGTCCAAAGCCACACGCAAGATCACTTTCGAGGAGAACAGCCAGAACTTCACCATCTCCGGTCTGACGGAGAAGAGCATGGAAGACACCAACATCAGCCTCCAGGTTTGCTCTGCATGTCAGGGTCATGTTAATAACAATTGTATTAGTATCATTTTTTTTCATCTCATTTGCCTTTGTACATCCTTGAACTCAAAGTATTTGGTGTGTTTGTAGGAGCTGTTGATTGAGGTCTATAGAAGTATTGGAGAACCTGACAGTCTTTATGGCTGTGGAGGAGAAACCATGACAAGTCCTCTCACCAGGTAGGTCTCTGTCCACTGCAGTGTTTTGTAAAGTATTCATACCCACTAGACGTCTTTCACATTTTGCCATCTAAGTACCACAAATACAGTCTATTTTATTTACAAGCCTGTGATAGACAAACAAAGTGTGTAACTCTAAATTTTAGTTATTCACTCCACAAATGACATTTCTGGAACACTAGCAAGAAATGCTATTTTCAGTTTGCTAAGAACTACTCTAAGGGACACAGCATCATGCTGTAGAGATAATTTTTTTCTCCACAAACAGTGAAGGTACTGTCAGAGTTGATGGCTCTGCAGGTAGAAGTTAAACGCAGGGCGATCCTGGAAGAAAACATGTCAGAGGCCACTGAAGATTTGAGACCAGAGCATCTTCCAGCAGGAAGTTGAACCGACCTTGAGGCAAAACTGGAATCCCATTAAAAAATACTTTTTACAGACTCTTTTGCACATGATAAGATTGAAGATTTTCCAGTAATGTGCAATCTTGACAAAAGGAGTATTTCTCAATTACAGACAAAAATTGTACTTGTAAGATTCACAAAAAGAGGTGGAACCAGTGTAGGTTAATTTGTCGCAAGATGACAGAAGCACTGAATAACCTGATGTGCTATTCAAGTCATCTGTCGAAAATTCTTGCATTTTTTCATATTGTTAAATGACAGTTTTTTCCAATATCGTGCAGCCCTATTGCAAACTGTCCCTCAATGACATCAAAACATTTAGCAACAAAGAACGAAACTCAAGGAGGACTGAATGCAAATGCATGCCACACTTTTGAGATTTTCACTGTGAACACATTGAGTTATGTCATTTTCCTACTCACATAAAAATCAAAGTATTTACTACATTAAAGTTTGTAACTACAATATGACAAAATGTGGTAAAGTTCTGGGGGTATAAATACTTTTGCAAAGCGCTGCGTCTTCCCAGTAGCATGCAGACATTGCAGTGCAGACTACAGTTTCTGCTTTGTTGCACTTTTGGTGCAGGATACGAACATATGAACATGAAGCCATGTGGGGGAAGGCCCTGACCTCATACGATCTTCACTCTACTCTCCCTGAAGTTACCCGACTTGTAGGAATTGTGGAGGTAAGATGGTTGAATCTGTATAAATTAATGTGATTTGTTATAATATTCAAATGCTAGGAAACCAGAGAATGAGCTATGATAAGATTATTTCCTTCAATTTGATCTAAATGAAAATAATGTCTCATACTAGGGTGGAAAATGTGTCTTTGAATATATTGTTATGGTGATTTTTCTGCCTCCTTGTCCGAACAGGGCATGCAGAACTTTGGGCTGAGCAGCATCCTCGCCACCTACATGAGGGGCTTGGAGAGCGAAGGCGTGGAGTGGGGGGCTGAGCTGCGAGAGCGCCGCTTTCAGGCAGCCTGGAGGAACATGCAGTGGGACTGTGAGCTGTCAGAGAGGTGAGGATGAGGCATGACCATAAAAAGTAGCATTTGCTGCATCTTTCACCTACACCTTTGTTTTCTTTCTCAGAAGTGACAAGTCCAACCCTGGCTTCCACGAGTCTGTGTTTTGTTCCCTGCAAGCACTGAGGGACAAAGAGTTCTCCATATTTGATGACACCCTGAAACGTGCCAGGTGAGGTGGACACCTAAAACGTCGAAGTTTGGCCCGATTTAGTATTTATTTATACAAATAAATATGTGAAGGGCGGCGGAGGTGGAGGAGCTCTGCAGAGGCACCTTAGAGGCCATATCTTCCCTGTATCCGCCCCTGAAGAACCTGCAGAGCATCAGAGAGCTGGAGAGCGTCAAGCAGCTTTTCGCGAGGTGATTTCACCGTCATCATCAGCAGTGAAACAGAGCTGAGTCAGGTTGATGTTCCTAAGCTGTTTTGTGTTTTTCAGATCCCTCTCTGATGTGACTCTGAGGGACGTTTGCAGCCAGTGGCGGCAGCACTCCAAGCTGCTGCTGGACAGTGACTTCACCGTGGTGGAGCCTATCCTGGCTTTGCGCTCCATAGCTCAGCTCACCCTGTTATCCAGAATGGAAGAGCCAGAAAACAACCGTCACCTCAGCTCTGTGCTCACCGACCACCTCATGGAGCTCTGCCGCTTGGCCCGCAAAGCCGGGAATACACAGGTAGCCTCCACATGCATCACTGCACTGCCTGGTGAAAGTATTCAGAAAACCTTTTTACATCACAATCAATAATTTTGGTATATTTCATTGAAGTTTTAGGTGATCAAGCATTTGTTTCATAGTGATGGAAAACTGTACGGGCTGAAACAATGAATCAAATTATTTATTATTAAAATAATTGTAAACTAATAGAATAATTGATCAATTATCACCTGCTTCAAATTCTGCTTAAAAATGACATTTGGCTAAACAAATGATAAGTCATTTGAACAAATTATCAGTCATTTAATTCAAAATCCAGTTCAGATCAGCCCGCCCTGAACTCTATTTGCGTCAAGTTGAGCACAAAGAGTTGAGCTTTTCACTTACTGATATTAGAAGTAATTTCTTAGCTGCAGATGCATCCTTTGCTCCAAACATCCACTAAAGGAATGCTATGTTATTGGAGTGTAGGCAATAACATATTTATTTTTCTTATTTAAAGAAATAATTCAATTATATGTATTTATTAGCATTTATCAACTGCATTTCTACTATTCTATAAAAAATCGCTTAAGTGAAAAATCTGCATAATTTGCCAATACTTTACTTTATCCATTTTTTTATTACACATTTTTATAGAAAGAAAGCTATTGACAAAAAAAAGTTCATTTTGCAGCTTGGCACACTACTCCCTTTGTGAAGAACTATGCTTTCTGTTTCAGCTGGATTAGAAAATCAAAATCATAAAGCATTTACTACAAAATCCTGCAATGTGTTGAAATTTAAATGTTTCTTTAGCAAGGCTTCAACTTGCCTTAGTAGATTTAAGGCAAGTTGAGCTTTCTCAGTTTGCTTGAACATTTACTCTACATTTCCTAATAGTAGCGTTATCTCCTCTGTCAAGCTTGCGGAGCGTGCGGTCTGTCAGATGAAGCAGCACAGCGATGGAGGGAGCTGGGTGTCCTCACCTGTTCTGTCATGGCAGCTGGAGGAGGCCCAGGTGTTCTGGGCGAAGGGAGAGCAGGGTCTGGCTCTGGGCCTGCTGAGGCAGATGATACACAGTCTAGAGGATAAGGTCAAACACGCAGCCTTATAAAGATGTACTATCACAGCTTTGCTTTATGAAAAATTACCTGCATTTTATTAAATTCTGTGTGAAGGAAGACCCAACATGAGTGAATTAAAATCTTGTGTTGAATGTCGAGCAGGTTGATTTTAATCCTGCTCTGGCTCCGCTCTACACCGAGTGCCTCAGGCTTTGTGGGAACTGGCTGGCTGAGAGCTGCCTGGAAAGTCCTGGAGTTATCCTGGAAAAGTACCTGGAGAGGGTAAGGCCCCGCTGAGCGTTTCTTCTTAAAAGTTTTAGAGATCAGGAATTAATGTTAGACTGCTAGCAGCATTCAAATGTTGCTCCTTTTTCTATTTGTTGTTCATGGAATATGAATATGTGTAAAACTAGAGAGACACCAGAAACCAAAATCTATAACTTTATCAATAATCATCTATTTTCTCAGTCTGGTGATTCTTTCTTTCTCTTTCATTCTTTCTTTCATTTTTTTCAATCTTTCTTTCTTTATACCTTTCTTTCTTTAACTTTCTTTATCTTTCTTTTCTCTCCTCTCCTTCCTGCTTCTCTGCCTCCCTCCCTCTCCATCAAGTTTAAACATGAGTGAATCATTTTCTAGGACCTCATCATGGAGTGAACAGGCACCAGTTCAGTTACAGTATTTTCTTTTAGGATGTTTGTCTTTCCAGGCTCAGAATAATCACAAACGTCAGTGTTTCTTGTATGTAAACATGAAAAGAAAAGAAAGAGACTATTCTAATGAGTGAACATGAAACCACATGAGTCTCGAGTCTAATATATGTTACCCTTTGCCCTTACTGAAGTAACAGCAGGCCTCCCTGAGAGACATGAATGACTCATTGCCCGTCAGCCAGGCAATAACTGGCTTACGCACACACATGAATTATTTATTTATGTCCTGATAAATCAGAAGGAGGCGATTGCATAAATATTAGATTTCTGGAAGTTTATGGTTCATGTCCCCTGGCTGTGGCAGATTAATGTAGACCAAATGGAATAATTCATATGTACATGTTTATGTGTCTCTCACAGTTAGGATTTGGTGCTTCTGCCGCTGGTTTTCTTCTTTTCAGACCTTCCAGGAAATGGAGTGCTTATTTTCTGGCTCCTTTTCTTTAGTCCATAATTATTCAGGTCTGACAGAGTCTCTTCCTCGCTGTTCTCTTTTCAGGCAGTGGAGGTGATAAAGAGGGACTTGGGGGGCCGGGACCCCAGGCTCCAAAGCCAGCGGACCGAGGCTTTCTTGTCTCTGGCGCGCTTCTCTGACGCTCAGTACCAGAGCATTGACAAGTACATGAACTCATCCGAGTTTGAAAACAAGCAGGCCCTGCTGGAAAAGGCCAAGGAGGAAGTGGGCCTGATGAAGGAACGAAAAGTGACCCCTAACAGGTTGATTTCCACTTTCGGTTTTCTCCTGTGTTCAGAGAAAAACCCCACAGTGGCAGGTCAGAATCGTCTTTAACAGATGAAATAACTTCTCAGGTACACGACAAAGGTGCAAAGAGAGCTGGAGTTGGATGAAACGGCGCTGTCCAATCTGCAGACGGACCGACAGCGATTCCTGTGCAAGGCGGTGGAGAACTACATTCAGTGTCTGGAGCAAGGTGAGGAGCACGACACCTGGGTGTTCAGGCTGGCTTCGCTCTGGCTGGAGAGCGCTGACATTAAAGAGATCAACGACATAATGAAGGTGAGTTAACATCTGCACTCCCCCAGTCACAGCCTTTTATTTCTGATAAAGTTCACATGTCTCTGATTGTTACAGCTGACTTGTTTTCCAGAGGGGAGTGAAGCAGATCCCATCCTACAAGTTTTTGCCTCTTATGTATCAACTGGCTGCCCGCATGGGAACCAAAATGGCTGCCGGCGTCTCAGAGGACCCAGGATTTCATGAAGTCCTGAATGATGTAACTCAGACATTTGTCTTTTCTTCAAGTTTGTCAGTGTGACTGACGTTGGCTCAGACTCAATGGTTTTGGTCACTTAGGATTATCCAAAATATTTATTATTTTTTTAAATGCCATAGCAAAAAGCAAACACATTTTGGCTTTCCTTTCACAAACTTCTCATTGTTGGAGTTTGTGCCGATTCTGCAGACCTGTAAGCAGAAATCTTCTGCCTTTCTTCTCATATAATGTTTTTTTCTCATGATTCTTTCCTATTTTGGTACGTCTAGTTTTCCCTTTTAACACAAAGCAGTAGACAACTGAAGTAGAAGGAAATGGTCTTTGGATTTGTTTTCCAGTCTAAATCTGGTTTCAATACTACTTGATGAGTTTGATGATGCTATATACAGTTAAGCATGCAAAAGTGTTACACCTGAGCTGTCAAACTTTGACTATTTAACTTTTATTCTACAGAAAAAAGTTTGAATGATCTGTGTTTCATCAGCTCATCTGTAAGGCGTCTTTGGAACATCCTCATCACACTCTCTTCATCATCTTTGCCCTGGTGAACGCCAACAAAGACGAGAGTTTCTGCAGGACACGGCCGTCAAAGAGCGCACCACGGCAACAATCGCAGTTTGATCTGGTGCGACTTTCATTGATTTATTTCTTTTAGAAACTTCTGTTTATTTTTTTCATTATTTTGAATTGTTTGTTTAAAAGGAAAGTAAACAAAAAAGATGAAAACAAAAATCTTACCATAATCTCTTTGGACTCACGTTAAGTCATTACGATTGTCCTTCCTGGCCATAACAGAAAATGTGAAACCCTAATGTACTTTAGTTACGTATTTTAATGTCATCGCATGAATAAAAGATCATCTCTAATAATTCTGTTTATGGTTCAAATTGTTCGAGAATCAATGTGGCTCTCGCTAAAAAAAAGTCTGATCTCATAATCTGTGCTGATCTGGTTGAGTTCGAAACACTAAAACAAGCTTATCAGAGTCGACATCAAGTCTTTTGTTTTTCTGAGTATTTACAGCGAAACTCTTTGTTAAACATCCGCCTTGTCTTACTAACTCTTGCAGGAGCGTTCAGATGTGGCTCAAAAGATCATTTCTGTAATCAGGAAGAAGCGCAGGGGGATGATCCGAGGGATGGAGCGCCTCTGCGACGCCTACATCACTCTGGCTTACATGGACGCCAGCCGGCACAAAACCGAGAAGAGTGAGTAGTGATCTATTGTGCAAAACTCCTAAATCATCTGCCACGATTTGCATCCAATGAGCCAGACTTTATTGTAATAAAATGTCCTCAGTTAGTTTCTCTCTGGATTCTCTTAAGTTTTTCTTTGAGGCTTTCATATTTAACTTTTGTTGCAGTACTTCACTACTTCCACATGGATGGATTTCATTTGTTAAATCTAATCTATTGATCATCATCAACATATAACTAAGATATGAAACATTTAAATTATCTCTATATCTGGTCTGGATTTTAAAATGGCAGTGAAGGGTTTCAGAAATGCTGGGCCAAAATGGACCAAATCCACATCAATACATTCTTTGGTTTTATTTTTTTATTATTGGTGTTTGATGTAAAAGATGAATCAGTTATTGAAATATCAACTCATTTAGTAATCAATTAATTGCTAACTGGGCCTTGAACAGGTCATGCTGAGAGCAGTTCAGCCAAAACTATACAAAAACATACTATATGATGTTTATTTTCTTACTTGAAAGGATAATTGAATTCTTTGGGGGTCATTTGAATCTTTTAATTTATGTTTAATATTGTATGTCAAAGCTTCAAATGGCTAAAAAGAAAACCTGCAGAATGTACCAATTTCTTTGAGATCATTCATCAGAATAATCAAAAGAATGGTCGATTACTAAATTAATCGTCAGTTGCTTTCCTGTTTAATGGTTTACCCTCAAACACATTTGAAATTGCACCTTCAGCACCACATCTACCTCATTGGTGTCTTCATCCAATGAGGTAGATGGTAGACCCTCAATGTAATCTTGGTCCTTGTCCGAGCCTTTGCCCTTGTTAGAGTCTGTGCCTTCGCGGTCTGTCTCGTCCTGTCCTTTGCCCTTGTCCGAATCACGGCCCACGTCTGGGTTGAATGGTGGATGGTTTAGGTCTGGGTATTTGCGTCCGGAGTTGGTGTCGCATTTAAAAGTATGCGTGCGTATCTGTGTGTCCATCTCTCACACCAGAGGCCATTCCCATCCCTGCCGATCAGCCCATCATGCAGCTCAAAGACCTGGACGAAGTGGTCATCCCCACCATGGAGATAAAGGTTAATAGATTTGCAACTCTGATCTGAATAAATAAGTTTAATTGATCGTCACTGATGTACCAAATATTTGACTTCAGCGACGTTAGCTGGATTAAAAAACCATGTATTGTTGGGATTGTGAACAGGTTGATCCGACGGGTTGCTATGAAAACCTGGTGACTGTTAGATCCTTCATGCCCCAGTATCACCTGGCTGGAGGAGTCAACCTGCCGAAGATCATCGACTGTGTGGGCTCTGACGGGAAGAGCAGGAGGCAACTCGTCAAAGTAAGCTTCTGTGTGTGTTTGTGTGTATTCTGTCATGAAATCATAAAACATTTACTTTTGGTCCTGTGGTCGGTGCAACAGAGTGATCTGCACCAAAACGGGCACACACCACTTCTCAACTAAGCAAACACTCTTTCTGACGAGACGCTGGTCACTTTAAGCTTTGGCTATTTTCCATTCGGTTTGGTTTCAGGTAATAATTAATCTAGTTTTTATGTAAAAACAAACAGACTCTCACACTTTCATACTGGAAACAATCCTCATAGAGAGAGAGTGGGGAAGGTGTGTTAGATTGCATGTGTGTGAAAGTGTGTTTGCGTTTGCAGAAACATTTGAAAGACACTTAAAGGTTAACAATTCACCTGCTCTTTGAGTCATGCTGAGATCATGTTGTACCCTAATATTGCTTTTTTTGTTTCTTGACTTTAAGAGCCAGCCTCACAAGAAAAAAATATTTAAAAAAAGTAAACCACATGAGTTGCACATTCACACCAACATGACATTTAAGAACTAATGAAGAACAAACAACTTCACTACCCACACACTGAGAGGAAATAAATCTTTTTAATTTTTCGGCAGCAATCGCTCCTTTTTTTTTCCCCAACAAAAATGGTAACATGAAAGGAGTAGGACTTTGAAATATGAAAAGTATAGACTTGATAAGTATCATGAATTAATAAGGACATTGAAATCCTTGCTTCCTATGGTTTCAGTGATTTTGTTATGTCTTACAGGATCAATGAAAATAACTAAATGTTGGCACTGTGTTGTATGCTTCCTGGAACATGTACATGAAAACTTAAACGCCGTTAAAGTATGAAATGACTACAAGAAAGTAGCTAGCTGCTCATGTCTGCAGTCAGGAAAATATATGAAAAATGACAAGATTGAATAAGTAGAGACATTTTTTTTCTTTACTTAAAAAGTTCCCAAAACTTGCTTCAAAAAAAACTAAAGCAAAGAACGACTTCTTGGGCGCCACTAAGTCTCCATTGTGACATTTACGTATTATCCAAAAAATGATGATGGATGAATGGATGGATATTTGGTGTCTGAAAGCACTGCATCTTTTTTGTCATTTTCACAATTTCTCATTTTCTGCAAATAAGTACTACATTATTGCTTAGTATTACACAGACATGTTGTTAGTAGTTTATAGAATAAATGAACAATGTTCATTTTACTCAAACATATACCTATAAAAAGCCAAATCAGAAAAATGGATAGTTTTAAGTGGTCTCTTAATTTTTTTTCCAGAGCTGTATGTTTGAAGTGGAAATTGATTTCTTTAAAACTTTCCCCATAATGCCATCGCAATATTAGTAAATTATCAGGATGAGCTGTAAAATAAAGGTGATTATTTTCTATTAGCTCCTCATGATAATGTAACTATTTGTTGATTCTGAACAAGTTTAAAAAGCTTCATGTTACTGATGGCAGAGTAACATAAGCGTCCTGTGTGGACAGGGTCAGGACGACCTGCGGCAGGACGCGGTGATGCAACAAGTGTTCAGCATGTGCTCCATGCTGCTGCAGCGCAACACAGACACTCGGAAAAGGAAGCTGAACATCAGGCGCTACAAGGTGACGTCAAGAGAGGGAAACAGAAGACGTGTGTCGGAGTTGTGTGAATGTGTGTTTGCGGTGTTTTTGAATAACTTAATTGCCTGGCTTGGGTACCAGGTGGTGCCGTTCTCGCAGCGCAGCGGCGTGTTGGAGTGGTGCTCGGGCACGGTGCCCATCGGGGAGTTCCTGGTGGATCCCAATAAAGGTGCTCATAAACGCTTCCGACCTCAGGACTGGACCAACCTGGCCTGCAGGAGGAAGATGATGGTAAAATGCTTAAGAAACCTGCAGTTAAAGACATGAAACACCTCAACTCAACTCCTTACTATTTCAGTTTATGTTTGTGTTTAAAAACAGTTGTGCACTGTTACATAGCAGATCCAGTCATGTTTTTTTTTTTTTTTTCAAACGGTTGCAAAAAGGCTCCAACTTGTTTGTCTCCATCTCTCGGCTCGCCGCAGGATGCTCAGCGGCAGGGTTTTGATGAGAAGCTGGAGGCGTACAGTGAGGTATGCAAGAAGTTTAGACCGGTCTTCAGGTACTTCTGCATGGAAAGGTTCCTGGATCCCGCGGTATGGATGGAGAAGCGGCTGGCTTATACACGAAGCGTTGCCACATCCTCCATAGGTATCATTGTGGTGTTGGTTAAGCTGGAGTTCTGTAGTGAAACAGCAGAGTGGCACATAACTGGGTTTTATGGTTGTTTTTTTTTTTCCACCTACAGTTGGCTACATTGTTGGCCTGGGCGACAGACACATCCAGAACATCCTGATCGATGAGCAGACTGCTGAACTAGTGCACATCGACTTAGGTATGCTTGTCCTCAACCTTTCGATTTACGCAAACTAATGGTTAAGCATCATAAATTGTGACATATTTGATGTTTTGTGTTTTAAGGTGTGGCCTTTGAGCAGGGGAAGATCCTCCCCACCCCTGAGACCGTCCCATTCAGACTCTCCAGAGACATAGTGGACGGGATGGGGATCACTGGAGTGGAGGGCGTCTTTAGGAGGTAAAGATCAGCATCTGGGAGAATCTCTTTGTTACATTCTCACATTTATGTTGGTGTGTATCGGCTCTACAACGCCTTGCGAAAATGTTCAACCCTTTTTTATATTAAAGGGGATCAGAAAAATTTTGATTTTCAAATCCAATAAGACACCTTATTTTCCCAAAAAAAAAAAAACTGTAAGATCTGAAGGCTTTTGTAAGGTACTGTAAATACAGAACACAAGCTGACCTCGACCCGATTCTGTTCTCAGATGTTGTGAGAAGACGATGGAGGTGATGAGGAGCTCCCAGGAAGCTCTATTGACGATTGTGGAGGTACGAGAACTCTCCATCAGCTCTCGGTGCAAAGCACAAAGCTTTTACATAAAGCTAATATTTGCCTCATGTGCCGACAGGTGCTGCTGTATGACCCTCTGTTTGACTGGACCATGAACCCTCTGAAGGCCTTTTACCTGCAGCACGACGAGCAGCAAGAGCTCAACGCCACCCTGAGCTCCACAATGGGAGGAGAAGACCTCGACAACCACCGCAAATCCAGGTGATCAAATGATCTTCCATTTCAGAGTCAGGATCTATTTTTCTACTTTTCTTTGAGCTCTTCTCTCGTCCTCCTGCAGTGACAGTCAGAGCTTCAACAAAGTGGCGGAGCGGGTGCTGCTGCGGCTGCAGGAGAAGCTGAAAGGGGTGGAGGAGGGAACGGTGCTCAGCGTGGGAGGGCAGGTCAACCTTCTCATTCAACAAGCCATGGACCCCAAGAACCTCAGCAGACTGTTTCCAGGATGGCAGGCCTGGGTCTGAACCCAGAGGGAACCAGCAAGACCCAGCAGATCAGTACTGTATTAGTTTTGGGGAAAAGTCTGTGGATTGTTGCACTTTATTACAAATGTACGAACTGATGAGCGTTCTGATGTTGTTTGTAAATGATGGTCTGTACCTGTGATTGACCCAGTTTGATGTGAATGTTTTCTTTTCACTGAAGCTTGATGAAGAGACTGATACCGTTGACTATCCAAAGTACAGCCTTTATGAATGTAGAATGTATGCATTCCTTATTTAGTGGAATTTTTATTCACTTCTGCCTTCCTTTTACTTTATTATATTTTTGTCGTTTTATTTCTAGCATTGAGTAATTAAAAAGATCAGAAAGATGTCGTCTGTTTGTCCTTCAGAAGAGCTACTTTAGACAATCGTCTTGTTCGTTTCTGTTTTAAAAGGAAATTATGGTTTGTGTCAAAGTCTGGAATTGACTTTGAGTTCTCCATCCATCCATTCATCCATCCTTCACTCTATTCACTCAGTCTCTCCATCTCTTTATTTATCCTCTCTCTCTTTCTCTCTATTTTGAAACCTTGACCACATCTGCCATAAATTAAAAAAAAAACTGCAAAAAATACTGAAGAAACTCGAAAAATTGGAAAAGAATGGAACACAACAAAAATCTGAAAATGAACAGGAATATGAATATCAAAAATTATAATTATTAAGCTTTAGATCCTTTGGCAGCTAAGCACAATTTATTTTTACTCTTCATTGCTTTTGTGATGAGGTTCTTCTATTTCACTTGATAATTAACTCGTGAGGGTCCTTATGAATATTACCAATTTACAAAACACCTATGAGCAAACTTTGACATGTTTCTCAAACTAAAAACGCAGAGCAAATTAACCTATCGAGTAAGAAACAGTTTTTTCTGCACCTGGTTGAAGATCTGATTGTGAAGTGCAGGAGTGGCCTCTCAAATAAAGCACAAACTGTTTTATTTGATTATTTGCACTGAGATAATCCCGCAGAGCTGAACAGAAAGTAGATGCTGAAGCTCCTAATCAGATCAGAGCGCCTTTTCACCATCTGAGTAAAAAATAATAGTTGAGTGATCACAGGAAGAAACTTCACCAGCCAGAGATTACTTTTGGATTAACAGAAGATGATCGCCAATCCAGTAAGTTTTCGAACCAACTTCTTTGCTTGAATACATTTTTAAGTGCTCACTTTGATACGTTTTGCTTTCACCTTTGCTTAAAGTACATTGGTGAATCTCGGTTGTGTTCTTTTTAGATTTATACAATTTTACATCTCGTCTACCTCAGACTATTTATGCTTTTTAACTTTACAGTGTAAGCGTTCGCTGACACTAATATTCAGACTTTCAGTTTTTTTTAAAGTAGTGAATATTAAAGCACTGGATAAATGACTTATATTTTGGATGCTTATCTTTCTTTACAACAGTATCTGAGCACAGCTCCATCTTTTACCTATGAAGATGACAAAAGGAAACTCAGTGGGTCTGATGTTCAACCCCAGTATGTTCACCATGTGACTCTGATACCTCCACCAGAGATCAGCCACTCAATCCCTGCCAAAAAAGGTAAATCTGGAGTCCTTTTTATAACCACTTTATCAAAAACTGTCTTTTTAGTCCATCTGCAAGAGACTAATATATTGTGAAGGCACATTAAGATAAAGAAAACTTGATTGTTTTAGGCTTAAGAGGATAAAAATAAAATAGAATGATTTGTCTACAGAATGTGAGTTAATAAGAAATGTAACATCAGTCCCACCTCCACTAAAACAATTAACAACCGTCACTCGTCAGCAAACTAACAAATAAAAAGCCTCTCAGAATGAGTGAACATCTGGAAAACATCTAAAGCTGGACTTATCAATTAACCAGAGGACTACCTGGAACATTTTTAACAACTCCAACATTACTTTGATTCTGAATAAGAGGCTTTATTTCAGAGAGACACATAGGCTTAAGAAACTTGTCCAAACTCCAATTGAAAGTGTCATGCATTGGGTTTAAGATGATGGAAAAGATTTCTACTTATTTTTGATTTCCATATGAAAATGTTCCTTGCAAAAGTATCCATATCTTTTAAAGACGTAAAACCACAAAACTCTTTGTATTTTATTTGTATTTTATGTTGAATCAAAGTAGTACATTACTGTAAATTGAAAAGAAAGGTGTACCTAGTTTTAAACATATATAATATTAAAAAGCTGAACAGCATATTAATACATGTAGTTAGCCCCCTACTATTCTGGTACCCCTAAATAATTGCCTTCAGATAAAATATAATTCATAAATAGAGACCTCCTGTATGATTTAATTTCAGCATAAATTCTGTGGGATTTTGTTGTAACATTCCATTTTTAATAATTATCAATTAAGAAATGATTAATTTCTAGTGTACATCATTGTTCTGGAAAAGTTTGAAGCAGTGCAGGTTATAAAACATTAACCAGTTGATTGCAAGATCAGCAGAGGTATTGTGTAAAAGAAAAACAAATCTTCCATCAGAAGACTTGAGACCAACATTCACCTTCAAGCAGGACCTTGTTTTCAGTGGTCCTTCTGTTACATAAATTAGGATATAATCCATCAAACCTTAAATAGTGGATTTGGACACAGCGGGGCTTCAACACACTGTGTTGTCCTTTCAGGTGTCAAAGAGAGATGTGTGAAGTTCGCTGTGGCTGCTGGGATCTCGCTGCTGCTCCTCCTACTGGTGACTGGAATCCTGCTTGGTTATTACTGTGAGAGCAGGATTTACCTGGATCTGGATGGTTTTTGCAGATAAATGTGTAGCGTAATAAATACTTCTTTTATTGGTGTGGTCGCATCTTCCAGATTCCTCATCGTGTTTACATGGGAGGACGTGTGGAGATGGGAACTGTGTGTGGGAATCCCAGTGGTGTGACGGAGTGAAGGACTGTCCTGCAGGCCAGGATGAAGCTAACTGTGGTAAAAAAAAAAAAAAAACAATACAATGAAATAAAGCAAGCAAGAAAACAATCAACACCATCAACTGAGACACAAACAACCTTTCTTATAGGTTCCTCCCTAATATTTAGTTTAATATATACTGGCTTTACATCAAAGTTCAAGATTATGAAATTAAAATATTGAGCATTACCCTGAGGAGCCCTTATCCACTTTGGTGGTGGCTGTATTATGCTGTGGAGATGCCTGTGAAGACTAAAAGTTTTCTTTCCCATCTCCACATAAATTGTAGGCATTGTTTTTCACATTTTTTGAGTATGTGTCTTGTATCTACGATTTAGGTCTTACCCAGACTCTCAGACAGAATCTTTGTGTGGATTTTCTTTGTTCCCAGTGAGAGTGAGTGGCTCAAACTTCCTGCTTGAGGTTTACTGGACGCGTACTAAAGACTGGAGGCCGGTTTGTTTTGAGGGCTTCAGTGAGCTGCAGGGTAAAGCAAGCTGCCAAGATATCGGATACAGCAGGTACTGTTGATAAAATCTAAACTAAAACACAGATAATAGATCTTATTTCTAATTTAATCTGTATATTTGAATGTGTGTATTGACAGGGACGCATATTTCAAATCAGGACAGCAAACAACTGACTCCACTGGTGGATTTCTATCAGTGAAGCGAAGCTCCAACCATCAGGCATCTATACTGAGACAACTCATCCTCAGGTTAGAACTGATGTGGAGAATGAAAGTTTTGTGCAAAACACACTTAAAACTTCCCATTTTTTTCCGCATGCTGTTTTAGCAAATCATGCAGCAACAGCAGCGTGGTGACGCTGCAGTGTACAGGTGTGTTGAACATTCTCCATCCGCACCATCATCTCCTTGCTACCTGGATGTGGAATCCAGTGAACATTGACTGCAGGCTGTGTTTTCAGACTGCGGGAGAAGGGAGACCTCCAGTGAGGCCCCTGGGCCCCAGCTGGCCTCTGTGGGGTCCTGGCCCTGGCAGGTCAGCCTCCGTGTTGCTGGGTCTCATCGCTGTGGGGGAGCGATCATCTCTCCACGCTGGATCGTCACCGCAGCCCACTGTGTGAGCAGGTAGGAGTTTCTTCAGCTACCTCTTTGAAGCAGAGGATGACGTCAGATCCATGCTGACCCTGCTGGTTTTTCTCCCTCTCCAGGACCCCAAGTCCTGAAGACTGGGCAGTGTACGTGGGGATAGTGGACCCATTAGGTCCTCTGTTTAACCCTGCCTACTCTGTGAGTCGGGTAATAGCACATGAACATTATAATGGGCAAACTTGGCAAAATGATGTCGCTCTGATCAAGCTCTCTGAGCCTTTGGACACCACAGGTACTAAAACACAGAGCCGCTTGCAAAAGTACAACTTAGATTTTGTCAACATGCAGCCACAAAAATCAGTGTTTTTCCTGATAGACCAACACAAAGTAAGACCTTACTGTGAAATAGAAGGAAACAAATGAAACATCTTTAATATATATATTTTTTGTTCGAGCTGTATCTTCAAAATAGAATTCATATTTAAAAACAATTCAAAAATTATTTGTGTTCAAAAGAAATTATGTGAAATAATAATAATAATAATAATAATAATAATAATAATAATAATAATAATAATAAAACATTATAAACGTCCTGCAAAGCATTAAGACATGGTCAGATTGGTGTTAACACAAAGTTATGGATGCTTTTTATTTGTAAAACATTTGAAAACCATCTCCATTTCCTTCACTTTGTAATCGTCTGTCAATAAATCTATAAGATAAATCAAAGTTTATGGTTGAAATGTGGCTCCAGATAGAGCATTTTAGATTCACTTCTTAGAAAGCCAACATTCTGATCAATGCAGCATAAATGTTTTCTCTGTTAAACCTAAAACTGAGCATCTTCCTGCTGCAGCTTCCAGTAAAGTCAGACCCGTGTGTCTCCCCAACGCTGGTCTAAACATCACTGACCCCGAGAAGAGCTGGGTGACATTTTTCGGCTCCACAACAAACAAAGGTGAGACAGAGGTTCTAACAATCGCAGCTCTCCACTAGATGGCGCCAAGGTTCGGGACATAAAACCACTGGAGAAAAGCCTCTTTGAGGAGCGATGCGCTCAGAGAGGAAAGGTAGTAATGAGTGGCTCACCTGTTGGGTTTCTCTTTCAGATTCTGGTCCTCTGTACCTGATGGAGGCTGCGGTGTCACTCATCCCCTCTGCAGAGTGCAACAGCTCCGAGGCGTACAGCGGCAGGATATCGCAGGATATGCTCTGTGTCGCAGAGTCAGAACCAGGAGCCAGCGTGTGCCATGTAAGAGAACCTCGCCAGTAACATGAAGCACAAACAGCTCACAGAGTTTACTGCACAACTGTGCCCTGAGCAAAGCCAGGCAGTCGCTGCCTTGTGTTCAGGCATCAGTGGTGTGTTTCCTGAGATTGTATCGATAGAAACTCACCTGATGTTGTAAAAGAGAGAGCGCTCGGACAAATGACTGCCTGCTTTTTCAACCATTAACAGAAAGGTTTCTGTTCAGGGAGGAATTTAAAGCATTTTTATGCTCTTGTGTAATTTGCTTTAAGGCACAGTTGGACAAGTGCCGCATTATGCGGCACTCATGGCAACAGATTGAAATAAACACATTTCTGTGTCTTATAACAAAACACTTATACAGCCAATCCCTCAAGGCCTGTTCAGTTAGAGCTCAGCTGACCATGATCTCACATTACTGAAACTATTCATTCCTGTTCATTGATAAAAGAAATCCCTCAAAGAACATTTTTGAAAAAAATCATATCAGTATGAGTCTTTGTGTTGCACATCTGGATCGCAGCGATTGTTTACGATTTGCGGGAATCTGCAGTTGACCGCTGTCTGCTGTGTTTGTCCTGAACTTCAGCCTGACAGCGGCGGTCCCCTGGTGTCCTAGATGGACGGACTGTGGTGGCTGTTAGGTGATGGTGTGTGGGGCGGACACTGCAATGGACAGAATAAACCAGGAGTCTACACCAACATCAAACACCATCTGAACTGGATCTACCAACAGATGCAGGTAAAAGTCTCTCATTGGGTGTTTTTGATTCTCATTTATTCAACTGTTTGACAAGCGTATGACTGTAGAGGAGGAGGAGATGCATGTGGCCATTGTTGTGGCTGTAATTATTGTGATTAACGTGATTTAATCAAAATTAATCACTTGTCCCAGTTCTGCCAATCAATACTGCAGATTGACTTTCTGATCTCACGCTTTCTTAAAAATTTTGAAGTTACTTAAATATTATTTATCATTTAAATAATAGAAAATGGTCTTTTTAGTCTACTTTGCGAGAAATGTGGAACCAAGTTCATAGTGATGTTTCTATGTTGTGTTTACAGAAGCATCAAGATGTCTGACAAGACCAAAGACAATCAGCAAGACAAGTTATCTGCATTGTGACATTGTCCTCGTGTTTCTCTGTAATCCTGTATAATGCAGGTGTTTGTTTTTTTTTACTTATAAAAAAATGTTTTCATAGCCTAAAAGAAAAAAACAGACCAGTCACAATATTAACACATCTCTGTTTACCCCCAAATATCTTCTAACAGCGAAAGGATTTCTAATGCAGAAAAAAGAGATATAAGGAATATAAGACGATGATGCACTGTATTTTATTGTCTCTCTGAAAAAGTACGTGTTCTGTCACCGATTATATCTTGTTTTTTTTCAGGAGGGAGAGATTTGTCACAGTTGAAAGTTTCAGACTGTTTACGATTATTGCCACAGCATCTTAACTTGTCTAAGTCTGAACTTGACAAGACCATACTTAAGGTCTTTATTTAAATAAAGGGATAAAAACTACCTGTTTGATTAATAATAACTATAATATTGGTCAATATATTTTATGCATATTTGAATATTACTGATGATTTTGATTATGGCTGTTGAGAAAGTATGTTTATTACTTGTTTCATAATAAGTTAGCATATTATGTTTTTTGTTTTTATGTTAAAGAACTTTGAATTGCCCTGATGCTGAAAAATACTACACAAATAAAATTATGATTTATTATTATTTACATCATTAAAAACAGGTCAAATAAAAAAAAAAAAAGTTCATTATTTGAGCCATTTGAAATTGGACCTGCTGGTAATGACCTCTATCATTGTCCAGCTATGAATTCATGGCTCAGCCAATTAAAGCAGGTTGTCCCAGTTCACATGTCTCAATCAGCGTGAGCCACAGTTCATCATACTGCGACCACCAGGTTTGAAATGTTCTATTTCTGAAATATCCTGGTAGTTTAAACTCTTCAGATTCGTTGTAACACTGACTGCTATTGGAGAGCCTTCCTGCCCACAGCATCACCATCTGTGGTGGGATTGAGATATAAGAAGGGGACAAAAAAACAATACAAGAATGAATTTTTTCTCTTTGGCTCCCAAAAATATTTTTTAATTTAAAATGATTGATTTGTCTCAAATGAATTTATTTACAACACAGTTACAATGTTTGGCACTAAAAGCATACACAGTTAAATAAATGAACAGTCAAATATTCATGTGTATGTCAAAAAATAAAGTTTTACATGTTCAGAGTTCAGACATTAGGCAACATTAGTAAGACAGGAAGCGTGTGCAGCTCAGGACAACTCACTGAAGTTTAAATCTACATTATTCCACACAGTATTTTTTTTCCTCCCCAGCTTTACTGCTGAGACGTCTTGTGTTGCATTAATCTGGCTGATGTGCAAAGACTTTATTTGGAAGCCATCAAGTCAGTTAGATTTACAAGACTGCTCACTATAGTCCTACCCAGAACGAGGAGATGTTTTTTCCAACTTGTGTACTTCAAGAATCTTTCACATATACTTCTTGCTTTGTAAAATGAAAGGCGCTGTGTAGAAATAACCTTTGATATCAGGCTACACAGGATTAGAAATAATAGCGCAACAACAACAACAACAAAAAACTCAAACACATAAATCTGAAAATGTACAGATTTACACAAATCACAATAATACAAAAAGAATTGTATAACATAGATATTGATCATCGGTTATACTGTTGATCAGCTTTGGAAACAAAGTGCACTTCAGCAGAGTAAATCTTAACCTGCTGATACGATTTATCAAAGGCACTGCAGGCAATGTAAACCTGTTGTTTTAAAGTATTAGTAGCACTACCAATAGTTATCTGAGCAGCTTTATTCGCACAAGCTTTCATTTTGCCCCACTTAAGAGTGGAGAGTCAGCATAAAGAAAAACCCAACAATCAAATCAAAGAATTGGCATAAGTGTTGTAAACTGCAAAAAGGAAGATTTGTTGTAGATAATCGACACTTAGTATACGTCCCTTGAATAATAAAACACAGAAGGGTCTAAAGGTGCTCCTCGTCTCCTTACTTTTGTCTGATAACACTTATTGCTGTGTTGATGTGCAGCCAAGAGACAAGATACTTTGTGACTTTTATAGTTTGGGGGAGCTTCATATTTTAGGTCCTACATTTTACCTTGGTTCATTTGAGATGTAGAGGTTGAGAACACACTCTTAGTGTATTCATCTTCCCATTAGGGAAAAAATGAGCCATAACTAAAGGCTTCACTGCATTGAGGTTCATAAAAGCCATAGTGAGTGAGTCCTCCTTTCACTTTGTTTGATTAGCAGTAGGAGGAAGAAAAATTAAACCACTGGAGCACACATTCAGCTCTGGTAGCTGTTTTAGGAATTTTTTTTATGTATATATATATCAGCTGGTTTTAGATGGAATTTCCCTTTAAGAGGCAGCTCAACTGTCCGTCTACCTCCGTGGGCCAAGCTTATGAGTCCAGCCTAAAATCATTCTTATTCAGCATGGCTGATCAGTGCAAACTGACCTCCACCCGCTACTCCACAGCTCTGGACGGGCTCTGTCCGCTGTCTCTCAGTCCTTTGACCGTGCTCGCCCGTCCTTTTCCCCGCAGTCACTTGATGCGATGCCGCACCAGTGAGGACTCATCTGTGATCTCCCCGCGGTCCCGGTGCTTGCAGGGCAGCAGCAGCAGCAGCAGCAGGCCGAGGAGGATCAGGGCGCAGACTGCCACCAGGGCGTAGGAGAGCACCCACAGGACGGGCTCCTTCAGTATGCCGCCGGAGCAGTCTGCTGCCACGTCTGCTGCCGAGAAGGGTCCATCGATCTCTGAGAGAGGCTTTCCGTCACTCACTGCAAACAAAGGCGAGACAGCTCAGAGGCAGGAAACCCAACTATCAACAAAAAAAGAAAAAAAAAAGCTAATTTATGGCTGCAACTATTGATTGTTGTAGCAATCAATTATTCAGTTACTAAAATAATTGGCATATTCTTGAAATTTGTTATTTAAAATGTAATAGAATGCATCTGCAGTTTAAAAATACTTCTAACTTTCATATGTGAAAAAGCTCAGCTCTTCCTTCTCAACTGAACCTGCGTGTGGAGCTGATCTGTTCACTTTTCTTTTTCAATTAGACAAATTATTGGATATCAAAAGGTGCTTAATCTAAGTTTATTTTTTTAAACAGAATTTGAACAAGGTGAAGCAGGTGTTTTTGTTTTTTTTTTACCAGAAACAAAGGGCTTGTCAATCTTCATTGGAAGATGGAGATGAATGCAAAAACACTTGAAACTGAGAGGGTTTCACCTCCCGACTTTACAACTCTACAACTACACAGATAACAGTTTATATCAAACAATATTTATGTATTAGAAAGGGGGCGTCCACTGAAGAATCTTTATCAAGTATTTGAAAACTGATGTCCTCAGATTCTCATCATCCCACTCTGAGTTTAAAATATGTTGCAAAGAATAATAAGGAAGACTCCAGATGCTGGTAGAGGCAAACCCCATGAGACTGCAAGTGACTCTACAAAGTGTTGACATCCCACTCTTCAGAGTTTCACTTGCAACAACCATGCATTACTTTGTGTAGGTCTATCACAAAATCCTAATAAAATACATAGATGTTTGTGGTTATAATGTGGCAAAATGTGGAAAAGGGGCATGAAAGCTTTTGAAAGTCAATGTAAGTTAAACATGTTACTGATGAATAAAAATTAGAATCCAATAATTGGAGAGAAAAGGGGCATTTTATAAACAAATACAAAAGGAGATTCCCTTATACATCCTCTGCAAACTTTATGAAATTTAGTAGTTTATTGCGATAAACAAAATGTACCAAATATCACATAGTGCCCATACAGCTTCTTAAATAAAGCTGTCAGCTGGAGGGTAATATCCTTAGGTTCACGTTTAAAACTGAAATTCCTGGTTTTACATAAGCTGATCAATAGGCCGTTTGTCTGTGCTCCAGAACAGAGAGAAAAGTCGGCAATTAAACGTCACAAGCCAGCATCCATAGCCTTAAGCCAACATCTGTTTCAAGCGTGTTTGCTTAGTTTAAACAAACCCGTCTTTGTACTTTACGATGTGAACAGGAGCCCTCTCCAAAGCTCATATAAACACAAAACCAAACTATTCACCTCATTTAATACCTGATGCAGCACATGAGCATAACTTGCTAAAAACACTTGAGGTGGATTCTGCACATGGGACAATGTTGGCTGAGTGGCTTCAGGTCAGCAAAATCTTACAAAGTGTTGGTTTGTCAACCTGAACAAAAGTTTGAAATATATGGAGTCCTGCAGGGGACACAAAGAATTTTATTTCTTATTGCATTTCCTCACAATAGGTTTGCATCCACTTGCAATAATATTGTATTTTCTAGTCAGTTTGTAAGATAAGTTGAACTTTACTGTCCAAAGTAACGATACAAGTATTTAACATGTACATTAACACGGTTATTTGCACAGATTTGACTCATTTTAAATATCTGCACATCTCTGCTGTTACAAAGTTTTTATTGTTACTTACAAATCGTTTATTGTCTTTAAATACAGATTTGCAGATTTTGTAAATTTTTTAAACTAACCTTCATATTGCACATTAATTTGAACCGGAATAGGCTATCTTTAATAGCTGCATTTTATTCTGTACATGTATGTTATATTCTCTCATCTTTACCTGAATCCATGTGCTTCGACAGCCTGCCACTTTGCAGCTGTTGTTGTGGAACAATAAAGAAATTTCAACACTATTCTTTTTTCTCATTTGTGAGACATCTTAAGTTTTATGTGTTTTTCTTTGGAATACAAACACACCATAAATATATGTGCAAAATGCCAGAGAGAAAACAGCCCAAACATGAGTTTTCCATCCCTGCTCTGAAACATAAACACGACAGAAACTTTCTGTAAGAAGAAAAAGAAAAGCCAAACTATTTGGACTATTTTAAATTATCTTTATGGGGTAATACTGCCCTCTACTGACAGGTTAAGTCAGTTGAGGGTCTGATTATTAAGCAGGTTTGTAGCCTGATTAGAAAGGCCACATTGTCATGTGCAGCCCCATTTCCTTCTATCAGTTATTTGTCCACCGAAATATACTATACAAACAAACATGAACACCCAATTACCTGATATATATTGGAAACAATTTTCACTGAGGATTTTTGAAGATGTACATATGTGCAACTTTATTTTGACATTTATCACTGTGACTGTATGAAAAGTAGACCAAGATGTATTTGCTAATTCATTATGAGGGAACACAATAAGAAGAAAATCTTTTGCATATCTTGGGGAGCTATGAGGAATATGGTGCACTATTCTGTGTGGTTTGCTTTATACTTTATACTTAGATCACCTTGGACACAGGAGGACATCTGAATGTAATAGGATGCATTAGATTTGTTTATTGGGAAGTGGGTAAAGAGGGCTAAATACAAGTGCATGAAAACCTTTTCAGATTTCTATTTGTAGGAAATGCTGAAACCTATTGTTTTCT